CCCCCCCCCCCCGCGCGGTGGAGTCCGCCCATTCAGGTCAGTTTTGTTCACATCTGTTAACTAAACCCCAAGCCGCAAGAACTTATTGTTTGTTCATCACCTTAAAAATACAGCCTCAGGGCCAGGGATATGGCTTAGCAGTGCCTGCACCTGCTTAAAGTGAAAGGTCCTGAGCTCGATCCCCAGTTGTGGGGGAGGGTACAACCTCGCACGATGGCGCACACCTGTAACCCCAGCACTTGGGAGGCTGAGGCAGGAGGATGGCAAGTTTGAGCCCAGGATGGACAATTGAGAGACTTATCTGAGACCCTGCCTCAAAATAAAAAATTAACCAAGACTTGTCATGTAGAGGTACAAGATCCCAACAATGAACGTAACTGTACTGTATCCCTAAAATGTACCAATAAACTCCATTAAAGCTGAAAAAAAATAAAAAATTGAAAAGGGCTGGGGATGTAGCTCAGTGGGAAGGCCCTGGATTCAATCCCTAGTGCCACACAAATAAAAGGAAATAAATAAATATTTAGAAATGAAGGTGTCTCTCCTAAGGAAATGCAGCAGACTGATTTCTTCTCCTCCCGTGGGGCTGAGGCTCCCCCTCATCCTCGGCCAAGGCAGGGAGTTTCCCACGATGCTTTGTGGGCTCCACCACGAAGGGGCCCAGGGAAGACAGCAATTACCTCTGCCCTGGCCCCGCTCCCTCTGCACCCAGCCCACACCCTGGAAAGAAAGTCCCCTGGTAACCTGTCCCTGCTCTCCTGCTCAGGATCATGCGATCCTGTTTTTCTTCCTGAACTTCCCAGTCTTCCTGGGGCAGAGGACAAGGCCCAGCCACTTTCTGTTGTCACAAAGCCACCTGTCCTGACCTCTCTACCTTCTGTGGTCCTCATTCCTGCTGCCCAGCCCCGATTCCCAGGGTGGTGCACACCTGTAATCCCAGCACTCAGGAGCCTGAGGCAGGAGGATCGCTGTGAGGCTGTGAGTTCGAGACCAGCCTGGGCTGCATAGTGAGTTCCAGGTCAGTCTCAACTACATAGTGAGACCCTGTCTCAAAGAACCAAAAAAAAAAAAA